GACAGTTCGACGAGGGACTATTTGGGCTTGTGCCGAAGACTTGGTGTTGACGACATTCCCATCTTCCCCCCTCCTCTTCGTCTATCCCCTTCCTCGTCTGTGCATGTTCTGGGCTGGCGCTGTCTTCCTGTGTGAAGCGCCAGACCCATTCACACTATGAAACGATGATGATGATGTATGTTCAGGGCTGCATTACAAGATTGATTGTTCGGATCACTGGTATCTAAGTCTGCTGCTGTGCTATCTTATACTTTGTATTGAAAGGTCGGTTCTTGTTCTGGTCTGCACCTATACGGTATGCAACACACACACACTGAACTCTGCCTCTAAGCTACAGCGGCTATGGCCGCCTAACCCCTACTAGCTATGGATACTCTATCTTCCCTCGGCCCACTTCGTCCTCGGGCATCTGCAGACCACCTCGCACAAGACGCTAGGGCAGCGCTTCCTCGTGGCTCACGCAGGAATGAATGAATGGCTGGATGCTGCCTCTTGATTTATACTTCTGTAAGTCGCATGTCTGCCCTTTTCCGCCGGGCACAGAGTCCCTCATGGTACTTGCTGATTGTACAAAGTGAGACTGGGACTGGGTGCTACTGACTAAGCGAAGTTGGACTCACCACTTGCCCACTTGCCTCTGGTCTGCTGTGGGTAACGTGAGAAGAAACTTGAAAGGCCACTTCCGGACCTTCCGGTAGTCTGCGGACTTGGCCTTTCAGGACTGTAGCAGCCACAACCTTGACTCTTCAGGACTGTAGCAGCTACGACCTTGACTCTTCAGGACTGAAGCAGCTACGACCTTGACCTTTCAGAGTTGCCACAGCTACAGCCTCTACACAACTATGACCCCTACTCGACAGACCTACAGATCGAACCTCTACGGCTACACAGACCTACGACAGACTACAGTCAACTACTAAAACACAGGTCACGGGTTCAAACACACAGGGGTCGACTCGATACTGTACACGGGTGTCATAAGGTCTAGGGATCGAGCCCTGGGATCTGCATCTGTTACTGCAAAGGTGAAAAACCGTTTCAGATGAGAGGGTGGAAGAGATAATCAGTGACCACCAAAAGAGTAGCCCAAACATTCCCACTCCTTCTCCAGGCTTCCCCTCTCCTCCACATCATCAATCAATATCCAGTAACAAGTCTGACAAGTCCTGATCACATAGAAGTGCCACGTGGCACTGTCATCTCGTGGAAAAAATGAAGACAAACAGCAATGCACAGTATCGACGTCAACCTCAGGTGAGTACCAATTCCCCAATCATCCACAGATCCCGATCTCCCTCCTTGTCGCGACCAATCACCTCATGTAGACGGCGTGGCCAGTGCCACGTCAGCAATAGAGACAGGTGGCATGCGCCACATTAACAATTAAGACAGATGACCTGCGCCACATCAGCAATGTAGACAGGTGGCATGTGACACATCAGCAATGTAGACAGGTGGCATGCGCCACATCAGCAATGAAGACAGGTGGCACGCGCCACATCAGCAAAGGCTGGCGCTCAACAGAGAAGGTGCCAGCATGCTGCCACAGTCCTGCGTTGTCGTCCACAGTACCAGCGCACAGCCAGCGTCAAGCCAGCGTCAAGCCAGCGTCCAACCAGCGTCGAGCGAGCGTCAAGCCAGCGTCAAGGCAGTATAGCACGACTGAATGTTGACCTCCTGACGACCAAGCCTATTGTCGTGTTTGACGAGGCAGTCTGGCCTCAGGTCTCCCTCCCACAGTCGTACAGATTGACTCACAGCTGGGGGCCTGGTTGTGTACAGTTGCAGACTTCCACTTAGTCCTGATGCTGTCTGGGTACCTGCATACAAACAAGTGTGTGCGTCTGACCGACGGCCTGGGCTGTGTCCATTTTGGCTTTCACTGTTGGACGTCGGGCAGTTGACTTGGGTCAACTGTCGCCCGCTCAGGCGCTGAATCCACGTAGGGGTCTTTTCTCCCCTTCAGCCTGGGTCTGAGTGGTGGCCTGGCGAGAAAAGGTTAACCGACCCCCCATTTTTCACCTCAATTTATAAGAAAACCATAAGGCCATCCCAAGCAAACTTCATACCAATCTATAGAGTGCACTTCTTACTAACATATCATAAAAAAGATACCAAAAAAAAACAAAAAAAAAACACATAAAACGGCAACTCAAAAGTGCATTTTCTAGCAATTTTGCCCAAAAACAACGTCATCAAAATTTCAGGATTTTCAGGATGATTAACAGCACAAATTCTAATAACCCAAATGACACCAAATTTGACACACAGCAAGCTTGTCCTAAAACAAAAACAGGCAAAAAAAAAAATTCCAAAAAAACACAAAATTTGACCCCGAAACCCTAATTTCAGGATCATTCATCGTTACCCAGGGCCGAAAAGTGGGGGTCCCCGTTAACCACTTGTGGAGGCCCTTAGATTTCCACGAGGCATACTGCATGGGTTATTGCAGGGCTTACTGGACCCGGTTTTCATTTTTTTGTTTTTGTGTTTTTGTTGGCCTCTTATAGCGGCACTGAAGCCCCTCGTGGCGTTGGATTGATGGTAACCCTCGCCAGCAAAAATGTGTTGGGGCCGATCGGGGCGAAACCCGGCCGGTCCGACTGGCCTGGTTCTGGTTGGAGGGGGGGAGGGGGGGGGAGGTCGGACCAGAAGTTCAGCCCTGCTTCCAACGTAAAATTACTGGGAGGAATAAATAAAAAATTTCCTGAAGGTTTACGCTAGAGAAAGTGGTAGAATGGGGAAGACAGGAGGGAACAATATATCTAAAAAATACAGAGGGAAGAGAAGGAGAAAACTCCCGACACTTCTATTGTGAGAAAAACGAAAATGAAAAATTCCTTGGTTAGTAGAAATTGTAGAACAAATTTCTAGGACAACAGAAATGGAAAGACGAGAAAAGAAAAAGAAAAGTAAGAGAAAGAAACAAGAAGGGGAGGGGTGACCCAATATTTCCAGCGCAGAAGTATTATGTGAGGGGGAAATTCCCACCATATTATTCCACCAGAAAACAAAAAAAGAAAAATTCCTAGTGAAAGAAAAGGCGAGAGGAAGAAACAAGGGGGCAGGGAGGGATGAGAATTGAGGAAGAAACAAGGGGACAGGGAGGATGAGAATTGATTGCCCACTCGTAAAAGTCCGGGAGAAATAAAATCTCTAACTTAATTTTCTGGGTAGAAATGCGGACGGAGGTGTGGTGTGAAAGAGGGCGGGACGCGAAGGGGGGGGGGCGGGACGCGAAGGGGGGGGCGG